CGTGTTCCGGACCCCGCGCATCAATTCCGTTTTTCCGAAAAGCGCGGGAGCGGCCCGTTTTTGCGGTTAACGGGAATTCAACGGAAGTTTAATTCCCCCGTTCCCCGTTAAAAAGACACACAGCTGAAAATCACATGCTGAGTTAGTAATTCAGTAACCCATAACTGCTGAAACACGGACCTGGATTCCAAGCTACACCATATATAGTTGGCCTGCTACTGCCCTACCATAAGTCTAACGACTACCTCTATCTTGGCGAGGAAACCCTTGTTAACTTTCGGCAGGGGCCTTTCGGAGTACCGGCAGGGGTTCTCTGGATAATGTGAAAGGGCTCTCTCTCTCTCTCTCTCTCTCTCTCTCTCTCTCTCTCTCTCTCTCTCTCTCTCTCTCTCTCTCTCTCTCTCTCTTGCGCACGCGCGCGCGCATGTATACACATATCACGGCCGCTTTTCTTTCTTTTTTTTCCGTGCATCAGCGACCAGCACACCGCACCGCAAGTATGCTTATAATTGCAAGGAAAAAAAGGTACAGAGCTGGGAAATCACCATATGGTGGTGTGAGATTTTTCTTGAAAGTTGAGACAAAACAATCAGAGAAAACCTACCCAAGTCCAGTCCACCTCAAGTCAGTTCTAGAGTTTTTTCCCTCAAAGTATTTTAGAGTTGAATTTTTTTACCACATTTCCCAGACAAACTGGAGAAATGGTCAACAGACGATACCTCAAAATTGCTCAAATAAAACAGTTCTGAAGCAGCTTACATTGGTTTCCCGGGGCGCCTGGCCGGGCACACCCAGCCGGGCGCCCCGGGCACCCCACCCGGGTAGGGACCACGCCCGGAGTACCCATGGCATGCAAAAAAACCACCGTTTTTTTTTTTTTTTTGGCTACCAGGCCTTGCTGCGCTTTGGTTGTAGTGCCCAAATCCGGCCTCTTTTTTATTTTCATGCATGTTGATTTCCGTGTGTTGGTGTGTGTGTGTGGGGGGGGGGGGGGGGCGTGCAGGAGGAGTCTGGATTATCGACTGTCCGTTGCCGGGTGGGGGATACAGCAGCTGCTGTGTCTCACCTGCAGTGGAGCACCACGTCAGAAGAGGGAGACAGGACGGAGGAAGGCCACATCAGAGGAGTGATGGAGGAGGAAGAGGGGAGGAGGGAGGGGGTGCAAGGAGGGAGGAGCACCACGTCAGAGGAGGGAGGAGGGAGGAGCACCACGTCAGAGGAGGGAGGAGGGAGGAGCACCACGTCAGAGCAGGGAGGAGGGAGGCGAAGTAGAAGAAGAAAAAGAAGGAACGCAGAAAGCGAAAAAGAAAAAGAAGAAGAAGGAGAAGCCCAGGATTCAAATTTGAAGTCGATCAATGCAGATCGACGGCCAGAATCCAAAAAAAACAAAAAAAAAACCTGCAAAACAGGGCCTACCGGACCCTAAAAAAAAACGCACCAACCGCCAAAAAAGAAGTTGACACATTCAGAATAGGGCGGTGGCACAAAAAAAAAAATTGAGGCTTTTTCTGCCTCGGTGCGATAGGCGCCCGGGTGCCTGCTCGGGGGGGTCCCCCAGACGGGCGCCTGGGCACTATTCCAGGCACGGTCGGGTACCCCGGTCGCCCGGGCTGGAAAACTAGCAGCCTACAGTATTTCTTTTTGTTTTTGTTTTTTGGAAAGGAGGAAGGGGTGGGGGAAGGGAACCCCGAGTATGCTGGCTCATCGATCTTCCCACAGTCTCCACTGCCCATCATTACGCTGCAGTCAGGTTGTGAAATAACCTTCTAGCCTTCTAACAGCCTGTGCTGCACAGAATTGCCTCCTCTCCACACAGTTCCAGCAGTCTACACTGCCCAGAGTTCTGTTGAGGTCACAATGAAGGTGACACAACACCTTCGCCAGCTCCTGAGGTGCCAGCTCACCCTCCATCAGGGTTGGGGGAGACAAGGAGGTTGAAGGTGATGGCGAGTTGGAGGGGCAAATGACACTGGTCTTTGCTGGTGTACATCTTCTCCTTCTTCTTGGGGGAGACAAGGAGGTTGAAGGTGATGATGAGTTGGAGGGGGATATGACATTGGTCTTTGCTGGTGTACATATTCTCCTTCTTCTTCCATTCTTGTTTCTTCTTCTTCCTTGGTTTCTGTTTCCAGGTTCTATCATTTCAGTTGCAATTGAACCGCTATTGTCTTTCTTAGTGTTAGTGCACTTCAAGATAGCCAGGATCATAACAGATACAAAAAACATGCACAGGCATGCCTCACCCGTGCTATGCATTAACAAACGACAAACTAAACATTTACCATTTATCCAAACGCAAGTTGGTGTTTGTCCTTCAGGACATCTGTTAAGACTGAAACGATACAGAGAAGATTAGCATGGCCCCTGTGCAAGGATGACATGCATAAATCGAGAAATGGTCCACAAAAACAAAAACAGAAACAAAACGCAAGTTCGTGGAACTGCAGAGTGCAGAGCAGCCTGGTGGAGGGTGACAGAAAGGAGCAGAACAGAGCAAGGTCGAGATCGGGCAAAGCAGAAGCAAACAGCAGAGAGGGGCAGGGCAGAGCGGTACGGGATTGGAATTCACCTCAGGCAGACCCTGGAGAAGTATCTGTCATCTTCTGCGATTGTCTTCAGTGCTGCCTGTCACACAATCGACCAACTAATTACAGACTTGAAAAAGGAGGTTTTCCCCTTTCAGCAGAAACTTCACGCAAGCAGGCATGCTGTTCACCCATGTGAGGCCTCCTCAAAACAAGACATGAAGTCTTGCTCCTGTATGACCAAATCAGACAGCTAATCCCAGTCGCTCGCATGCTGACCCCCGCCTAGCAATCACCAAGAACTTGTTTCCCCATGTAACCAAACTGAGACTGTAACGCACAGCCTTTCATTCAGAACATGAAAACATGATTTGCCTTTTGTTAATAAATCTATATACTGAACCACAAATTTCACATCAAACATCCATGACAACAAAGCAACAACGCAGGAAAAAAAAAAAACACAAGCTAAGACAGACAAGACAGAACGGTACCAGACTTCGCATCATGATATGTGAAAAGAACATCCACTATACACTAAAGAGAAAAAAAGTGTCCGTGTTAATGCAGATGCTGGGAGTTCCAGGGACTTCTATGGGATCGCTTCAGGTCCAAGGGGGCCAGAATACCCGGTCGGCCGCCCCAGTCATTGGACTGGGAAGTCATTTCCACTTTTGTGCCACGCGACGCAGAAAACATTTGCGTGACAGCCTGACAGGGCATTAAACAGTTTTCCAGCACGCCATATGGCAACCAAATAATTTTGCACCAGCATGGCAGTTGAACAAGCTTTATGTCACGTCGACGTAGCACACACATGCACAGAGAGAGCGCCATGCGGCATGCACACACAGAGAGAGAGGGAGAGAGTCATTCCCACCTGCAGCCCATCTTCACCGTTGCACCATGCAGTGCACAGAGAGAGAGAGAGAGAGAGAGAGAGAGAGAAGACAGAGACAGAGAGCGAGAGAGGACCACCTGCACCCCACCCACTTCCCAAGGCGCAGCATTGCTGTAGATGGCATCTGCTGATAGAGAATGATGGTTAGAGAATCATGCCGCCATTCCAAGGGCCTCACCCCGCAAGCCCAGCCCATCACATCTATGGTTCTCTCTCCTCCAAAGGCTCAGTACTTTATCCTTATGCATACCTCCTACACTAATTTTCATCTGGTCCTACTCCAACTTTGGCAAAACCACTACTACCCTCCTCTTTGCGATTGATTCACCGGCTGTGGTTGCTAATCCGCGTTGATTCGGCCAGAGAGAGTGGAGGCAGAGCTCATAGCACAAGCTGCGAAAGGCAAAAGCGAGATGGCAGACAGACACACAGCGGTGCCACGCGTAGGAAATTTGCAGTGGCCATAGCTGGAATGGAAATGCGAAAAGGAGATTGGAGGCAGTAGTAGCTGGCATAGATTATCTGCCCTACTACCTTCTCCTTCTCCTATCCCTCCATCTTCTTTTCACTGTTTGGCCAGACCCACCAACACAATTGTGTCACAACAGGGCCCAGGGGAGGCAACCGCATCCAAACTGAGTTAGAGACCCATTTTCCAGCGATGACGGAGACAGTCTTTTGAGTTTATGGATATGCCATGATTCTCTGTGTCAGCAACATTCGGTTGTAGTAAGAGCATGCCCTAAGTCTTGTTGTTTGCCATCACTTACCCAACAACAACGCTAATGGTGTGTATTCAACTGTATTGTCAAGACTGGCACTTTACATCGCCAATTCTGAAGCAGTCCTGTTATTTCCTGATAAGAATAGATAGATATGCTACTATACTCGTTACGAAGTACGGAGCAAGAGAGGCCATGGAGTTCATTGGTAGCCCTGCAGATTGAAGCCTATTGCACTAGAAATTTAGTGGAAAATCACCATAACGCCAAGGGTCTTCAACAAAATGCAGCCCTTAACGAGTTTGCTTCAGGTACGATCGACCCCCTTTTGGCCCAACCCCAGGACAGTTCAGTTGTCCAGGATCTGGTCAACATGATGTCCTACAAGGCTACAACATTATAGGCTCAGGCCTGGTGATGTTTCAACACCATCTCACTGGTTCTGCACATTGGAAACCAACTGGGCATTTTGTCCCCTTGCCCCGACTGAAAGACGAAATAGACAAGGGTAGGATTACCAACCTGCTGGAATGGAATCTTCAGATCTGCTTCTGCCGTATTTGGCCGAGGAGGCATCCGCATAAGTGCCCTGCTCTCTTCCAAGAGACACTGCACACGAACGCGTCAACATTGTTCAGCAACTTTTTGCTAAAACGCCTCATCATTGTCCTAGCAAAAGTTCCCAAAGAGTCCTAAAAAGCAAATATGATTGTTTTGCCTTTTTTTCTTTTTCACAGTAGATTCAAGATGCTCTTTGGGGGATCGCACCAAACAAATGGACCACCCCTACTAGTTGGTCCGTTTCGAACTTCCAGTCGTGGATCTCAATTGCGTAGAGGATCCAAGGATTTTGTTTTTCTTTTTGCTTTTGACTGACTCACTTTGATCGATTGATTCGCCCTGTTGGGCAGACAGTTTCCAATCACAACGAATGTGTGTAAAAACTTGCAAAGGTGTAGACAGCCATTCATGAGTCGTGCCAAATCAAGAATCCAAGCAAGCCACACAAGCGGACCATCACTACTGAAGGAAAGGCCTGACATTGCTGTGCTGTGAGTAGAGGGAAATCAGGTGGCAAGTGCACCTGGAAGAAATCCCCTTTCGCAAGCAAGAAGTAGTCCTGCAGAGCGCGCAAATGCCCATGGAGATCTGCATGAACAACCACCAACTACATACATGCAACACCACCCTTCCCC